AGATCGATAGAACAGGTAAGGAAATGTGACAGGTGAAATTTTCATGCTTTGCGTTTTCCAGAAACGTTTAACCTACCATCGACCGTGAGTCACGCTGTATATGAAATCACCATGCAGATAGTCAAATTGGAATAGAGAATATGCTCTCCAAATTCCAGTCATAATATGTTCATAAGTAGTTCTTGAACAATAAATAAGGTTTATATGAGTTTATCACTCAAAGGTACATTCAATTTAGTTTACAAAATTAATCCTCATTTTTTCAAACTGTGTTCTTATGAAAATAACTAAAAACTAATTATCAAAGACTCGAAAAACTTCCGAAGAGAAAAATTGAATTAGGGGAACACTCGGTCGCACTCCAGTTTTTTCCGTAATCGAACAGACTTGTTCAAACGACATGCATATTTATAAGGTACTCGTAATTCAGCTGATTCTGTTTTGTTTTCGTTCGCTGTTCTGCCTCCAAAATATATATGTGTGAGCGAGAAGTGAAACCTTTTATTTCTTTTATCTATAAAGCGTGCAATGATGTTTCATTTCTCCTCACAAAATGACTAGCGTTGCATTATTTTCATAAGGGTGTGACTGGGAAGTCACCGTAGGGAAAAATAACACTGCCTTCATGGACCTTTGAGGTGGAAACGTATAACAATAATTGCACAGTATCTCACTATTTACTGCTAATGGAAAGCTGAAATATCAATTTATCTCTTGTGAATACCATGATGGGTGTCGATCGAGTTACTTCCAATATTCTCGAACAAAGATCATATATTTGAAACATAAATAAGATTCTGCTGCTGGAAGTGCTGAACAACGTAAAATAATTGCAAAACATCCTTTACATTGTTTAGATTTCAGTTCAAATTAGTAAGAATGCTTATTTTCTGTTGAAAGGCTTCATTCACAAAATATATTCTACATATAGAAATGATGAGTTTACTTGATTAGAGTAGTAGAGGACTGTCCTCGAGAAGGAGGCTTATCTCCACTGTTTTGGAACCTCGTAGTCTTCTAGACCATGGTGGACATGAGATACTGGGCTATAGATAAATATGGTTACATAGAACGGTGGAGAATGCCATAGGTTTTGAATAGGCTGAGATAGAAGGACTCAACATGAGCTTTTTCAAATGGATCACAATAGCATCTACCAAGAGGACTAAGATATATGACCTAGAACCTCTGTGTTCCAAATGTGACGAGGATGGTATTCAACTGTAGGAGAAGGTTGAATATGTTGAAGTTATACTGAAACCAAGATCGACCCACCAACATTTAGACAGTGAAAAGCAGATTCTGAAACCAGAGACTTCTTCGATTTTGTAGATTAACAATGGAAACCTGGGAAAGCAAGAGTGGGTCATCCCCAAAGTATGCTTGGCGGAAATACGTCGTTTACAGGCAGGTCAAAAACTGAATATGGTACACTTCATCAATACTCATTTCGTCTTCCAGCAAACAGTGTGTGCATTTTTGCAATATGCGAGAAATATTATTTCAGGATCTTGGAGCATTATTAACTCGATAGTTTTCTGATTGATTCGGCCGTTACTTGATGAAGGTCCATAGTCATTTCAAAAACTACACCTCACGATTTGATCTTCACAAACTGTATTTGAAAAAATATAATCACAACATGTTTCGCTACCACTGTAGCTTTCTCAAGTGTATTCATACAAGTGTACACCTGTCTAGTTTGAAAACAGAAGTTTCCCTTTAAACTTGTCCAATTTGGTCCACTCTGTACATGATTTCTAGTGGAAATTGACAAATATATCTTTCATGGAAAATACAGAACAACTCGACAAATGAAAATATTGGTCTTTAACTCCTCTATTTGGACAGTTCTGTCAATTCAAATTTCATNATTTAGTTATAGACATTTTATTGTTTGTGACCCGCTGATGAAGCCAATGAGAATTGACAATTGCTGCACCACCTACTAACTCTGTGGCAAGTTTCCGGTACCATTTGACCCCACGCCTAAGCGATGAGTTATAGGCCTTCATTTGGTCTGAAAATTTCAATAGTTACAAAACGAAATATAATTTATAAATATGACTTACCCGAAATATCAATGTAGCTTTTATGTTTATTGTACTCAATGACAAACCTAGGCTTCATAATGTCTCCTCGTCGTTTATGTACAGTCTCGTTTATCTTTCCACTTTTCAACAAAAATTCCGTTACTACTTTCCTTTGAAATAGCTTCACCCTTTTTAAGTTTTTTATTGATAACATCTTTGAGATTGTTCTTTCTATTGCTGCGTAGTGTACCTAATATGTAAGTTTCATTTATCAACAATTCTTGAGCTAGTTCCACAGATGTATAGTAGTTATCAACACAAACTGTACGGCCTTTACCAAGTAATTCCTTCAGTAACGACTTTTGTTGGAACAGTTTGATTTTTGACTTCATTTCTTTCCTGTCCACAGTAGACTTTCAAATCATATAAATATCCACCCTCTAGACATAATTTGAATAATTTTATGCCGAATTTGTATCTTTTATTGCTAATGTATTGTTTAAATTTTATTCGCCCCTTGAAGGGAACCAGGGTTTCATCGATGCACAGAAACTCTCCTGGTATTATCGGTATTTGAAAATTTTTTCTAAGTTTCGATAAAAGTGGACTTATTTTATGCAGCCTGTCGTCGTTCTCTAAAACAGCTTTGTTGTTAGCAAAATGCCAGGTTTTTAGAAGTAAGTGGAAACGGTTTCTTGGCATTACCTGTGAAAGTCCATTTGTATAAATGAAGTTTTTTGACCAGTATGAAGATATTGAAGGCAAGGATATAAGTCCTTTCATTTTTAAATTCTACTTTTTCAGTTCTTTCAGGGATTTCAAATCATTTCATATAATATCCACATTGGATTGAGGACCATAGCACACAATATTCGCAAAAGTGAATGTTTGGGAAGGAATTTTGAACAACTAGATAATAGGGCCATATGTTTTTGAGGAAAGCGTAACTAGTGCTCAGTATCTACACCCTCTTTGGGGTTATCTGATGCCACAACTGGATCAGTTATTTCCAAATAGGAATGATTCGTGGTTCCAGCAGAATGGGTCGCCCCCCCCACACTACTACCTGAACACAGTTTTCCGAGGTAAGTGGATAGGAAGAAGCTGACTGATCTAATAGCCACCAAGATCTTCATATTTGACCCCGTTAGACTTTTTTATGGTGATACCCAGAGACTGAAGTTCACTAAAATTGACCAAATGATTTAGAAGAGTTAAGGAACGCATCAGAACGGAGATTGCACAAATAACCCCCGAAGTTCTCGAAAATTTCAGGTCATCAAGGTCATCAATTTGAACATTTATTATGATTTTATTGTATTTCATTGAATAAAAAGTTTTGGTTCATCCTGTATCAATACATTCCGGAATAATTATACTGTTGCCAAAGTCTGTTCCACCATCACTCTGGAGTACCCTTTCCGTTGAAGATCTTTTCTGATCATGCCTAGTTTTTTCTCAAAACCTTCCTACGTATAACTCATATTTTACCTTTTCATTCTAATTTTAATTGTTCCTTCATATATTCCGAATCACATTAAAATCATATTAGACAATGAAAGTCCGAACTAGTAAACGTCCCCATGAAACATTGTCAACCAATTTCGAACAAAAATTCCACATGACCATAATTACATGAAAAAATAGTGCTATCAAATATCTTACTTGTAACAGTTGTGGCGAAATTTATTGTATGATCCTAGAGCAGGCAAAGCTCCACATCCAATACTGTAGGCGAAAAAAATTTGTGAAAAGCCATCCATCCACGGTCCAGGTGTTAATAGAGCTTCCCACCGAGGAGTAACGTAATAAAGTAATCCCGTACCGGCTCCCTCCAGAGTAACGGCTCTCACTAACATGATAAACAGGAAAACGTACGGAAATAACGCTGTGAACCATATTACCTGAAATATTGGATGAACTTCAGTGTAATTGAATGAGTGGATGTTTCGAATGAAGTATATTTGATATATATGGATAACCCAACAGTCATATTTTCATCGAATTGCTTGACATGCTTTTTAGGGAACACCGTGCCTCGTTTCCAGAGATACTGCTTCAATAACTCTTCATTAAGGTGTCAGATGATGAAA